AAAGTTCCCAGCTTTTAGTAAATAGTATTCGTCCTTGGATAGGATGATGCAGTAAGATACATTGTAAGTGAACTAAGAAATTATACTTCTCTAAAGTCACTAATGAGCTTACTTTAGGCTAGATATGTTTAATTACATAGAAATATATAGTGTGTGATGTAGCTGTCATTATCATTATGAGAAGAAAAGAGATTATACAATTAATATCAGAAGAAAGGTTCCAGTTAATTTTTTCACACAAGTCAGGGACTTCCGACTTTTAAAGCTGAGCTCATATTGACTTTTAAGATTATGGAAGTGTTACGAAGTGCTTCTACAGGATGATTGGGAATGAGCTTGTCTAAAATGACCATTTCTCACTGAGATAGTTCTTCACTATCAACATTAGTATCCGAAGATGCTTTACAGCTTGTAGGTTTATCAGAGTAAGTACACACTGGGGTGCAATCTTCTATTTTTTCTTAGACTGCCCTTGAGATATAGTCAGGAACAGAAGCATTGTTGAAAAAAGTGTTGGGTTTAGTATTTTACACCACCTCCCATTTTATTTTTTTTCTTTAAAAATAAAATCAGATGGTTTTTAAAGAAAATCAGATCATATTCTCTTTAAAATAAACTCAGAAGAATAAAAAAATAACAATTGCCTCCTTGCTTTAAGTTAAATGAATAGTGAATGAATTTAGATGAATTCTAGATGAGTGCATTCTGGAATAGGTTCCTAAAGTTATCAATTTAACATCAAATATAAGTCTCAATATTCTCAGCAATTTGTTAAATTGTTTCTTGGAAACACACCAGGATCACCCATTTGATTGAGACCACATATTTGTTTGTTCGTTTGTTTCATCAATTTATAGTAGCCACCCATTTCAGCAAATGATTCTGGGTGGTGAACAATATCTAGAGGCAACAAAAACCATTGTAACTATAATTATAAAAGCTGAGATACATAGCACCAGAGAAAATATAGCAGTTACTAATAGAACCAGGAGGTGGACACAAAACCAGGTCTTTAGGACCTTATGAAAGGCCAGCAGGATCAGGTCCAACCTAATTTCTGGATGGAGAATGTTTCATAAGGCAGGTGCGACATCAAAAAAGGTTTACAACATTCAACTTCCTCAGCCAACAGGACCAGAGATTGACCTTCCTGCTGGAGCAGATAGGACAGGTATAACAAGATGAGGCAGTCTCTTAAATTAAATTATGTGAAGCCAGACCATGATCAGATTGCTATTCTGCACAAAGCTTAACTGGATGCTGATGTAGATTAGTTTAATGTAACTATTGTTCAAACCTAGACTACTGATTAGCTTAAGGCAAAGTAGTCCTCCAAAAATGATGCAGTGTGTGATAAGGTTTCTATTGCTCTTCTCCTTTCATATCTTCTTACAGGTACATGGGAAATTTAAGTTGGAAAACACAGGGACTGAATGAAAAAGGAGCCTCTTTCCATTCCACATGCAAGAGTTGACCTCAGATGGGCCACTGCAAGCTTTTTATTGGAGACAGAGTTTGAAAAAATAAAGATATATTTGGTTCTTCCATTCATTTGTTGACTTTGAAATTTTTTTGTTATTTTTCTGTTCCCTATTAAAGTTATATTAGAGATTTCAAATCATGCTTCATAAGTGATGGTGTAGGCCTTGCAAAGTAAATTTATCATCATTTTGAAAATACCTTATTTTGAATAAATTTAATTGAAGACATTTAAAAGAATTAAGGAAAGAATATGTGGGGTTGCAAACAACTTTGAAAATTGGTAGAGGATAAAATAGTTATATAATGTTTAAGCTTTTGTACAATTACATTCACAGGATGTGTCCTAATAAAGATTTCTGGGTTGCTTTTGTTATGGATACAAAACATAGGGACAAAAGATTAGGAGCAGGAATAGTTCCTTTGAGTTTGACAGAATCATATAAAGTAGAAAAGTAAACCTGGCTCCTATAATACTTGTCAGATCAGAATTCTCATCTCATTTCAAAATACTTTCTAATATACAAGCTTATGATTACTGTACATACAATCCAATTAGGCATTCCTAGGGGGAAATTGTATCAAATTCTGAGATGCCATTCCTATAAACAAAATATTTCAGGGACAATATGCTTCAACAACTGAAATGTTAAAAATTGTATCTGATTCTTCTCTATTTAGAAAACCTTCTACCACTAAACTATCTTCTCCTCTGACCATTAATCTAGTTGAATGTGTTTAATGAGTGTGTTTAATATACATTAATTTTGTTTGGTATATGTAGGAATTTATAATGTATCAACTATGGCACTGACTTCCAAGAATAATTTTCTAACCATTTTTGGTTTTGTAATACAAATTGTTTTTCATTAGATTCTGATAGAAGGTTTGTTCATGTTGACATAGCCTCTAAGGTGAAATGTTAATCTATTCCTTTTATGCCCTGGATTGATAATTTGGACTACAATGGATTCTGCCAACAGAATTGTGTTTCGCTGAATGTCTTAGCTGATATGAGGCTGTAAGAGGGGGAGGAAATACACAGAGAGGCCAACAAGAGCTCCAGTATATTGACAGAGAATGTGGAATCAGAGAGCTATGAGATTCTTTGGAAGAATTAATCCTAACAAATAGACTGCAGTTTAGAGATGGTATTCAGCAGGTTCTGACCAATTCTGGAGAACCAGTAGTAGAAATTTTGAGTAGTTTGGAGAACTGGCAAATGCCACCTCTGACTGGCCCCACCCCCATCTATTCTCTGCCTCCCGAGCCCCTGCTGATTGGCTGGGTCTTCTTTTGTTGCCCTGCAGAGGAGAGGAGAGCTGGAAAGCAGGTTAGTGAGGTGAGGAGGGAATGGGATTTTGCAGTAACCTTCCCCTGCCACATCCACCAAGCCACGCCCACCAAGCCACGTCCACAGAACTGGTAGTAAAAAAATTTCAATCCCACCACTGCTGCAGTTGTAGATTAATAGCTTTCATTTCTACAACTACTTATTAGAATATCTATCCATCAATAGAAAATGCCTCAATCAGTTGTAATTTTTAAAAATAAAATATATATATATAAGTGTTATTTTACAGCATGATATTCTCCTCACATGTTGGTCTTTAACTCCCAAATGGGGTCACAATAACCAAAGATCCACCAGCAGATCATGGGCAGTCTTACATGGTCTTCTTGGAATACTTTTAAGCTCTGCTCAGTTCTAAAAATAATAATTTGCCTTTCACATCCCAGAGTTAGGGGCCAAAGGGAAAATGTAAACCAAATAACATGCAAAAATTGATTTAGGCAATGACTGAGCAACTCTTTTTGTATGAATGTTGACCTCTGCATTTTGCACAATAGCTTCTGACAATTTCAAATTTTCTGACCAGAACTAAACCTATGAAAAAAATAAGTAAAATTTTAAAGTGTTATTTAATAAAAACAAGAAAATGTTCTAGTCTGGTCTGTGGAACTCTGAAGGGCAGATATGTAACATTAGCTTGCAAACACAGAATATTTACCAAATCTTGGAATGCTGCCAAATGCAATACTAAAGCAAGACCAGCACAGTCTTAAAAACAAATTACGTAAGAAAGAATTCTGATGAAGAAAATATTTCACTGGAAATGGCCAAATAAATTTGGAATGATTTGTTTATCTTTAGTAGCTCTTGAAAGTAATGTTATGTGCTAAGAAGCAATTAAAAACAGATTGTATATGAACAGAGAAACCACTTTTTACTTCTTTACTGAAAACATTTCTAAGAGATAAATAACACAATCCTATAAATACTTTCTGAGAAGTCCAGTTGTGTATACAGTAGGAATGGGCAACTTTTTGCGACTAGTTATTGTATTCTTGTATAAGGTTTCAGCCTCTAGATAATGTAGGAAAAAAGCCAAAAGCAGCTTTCCCCCACTACTTCCTCAGGTATGCACATTCAGTATCATGAATGCACACTAAAAAGTTGTCCTATAATTGCTGATCACCAAAGAAAGTTTACAAAATCAGGTTGACAAATGGAGTACCTCAGCCCCATTAACAGTAGCATATAGAAACTATAATGAACTGGACTGGCAGTTGAAGTTTAGGCTACTGATAAGAATGTGTCACCACCATTCTTGAGAACAGCTGGGATTCACATCACACAGCATACTACAGTAGAACCAAACCACATTTTGGTGTAGTTTAGTAGCAACAGATCCATTTCAGTTGCAACTTTATCAAATTCTTTTTTTTTTAAACAATTTTATTGGTTTTTTAAAAACAAACAAAAAAAACATAAAAACATCAGCTCTCTTCCGTACATATATACAAACAGTGTGTCAGTTGGTTCATCAGTTTTGTGCATTCATTTCGTAGTCTCAATTATGGTTATGTTACATAATAACTCTTATTATCAATCCAAACTTGTATGTCCTCATATCATTATTAAAAAATCATTTGACTATAATTTTATTCATTCATACTTTATGAGTTAACTATAATTTAGGTAATTTATTCTATAACAAATCATATAATCATACCAAATATATCCTAAAAAACACTTTATAGATGTGATGTCAAATAACAAAAGAAAAAGAAAAAACAAAGATATTCCTTATTATCTAACATTCTAAATATTCTATTATTGTATTTTATCATCCAACCATTGATAGAAAAGGTCCCAAATTTTATAAAATTGTTTATCTTCTTGCTCTCTAATTTCAAATGTCAATCTACTCATCTCAGCACATTCCAATATTTTCTTAATAATTTCTTCAACTTTATCAAATTCTTTTGCTCGACGGCCAATAAGGAAACCTTCCCATTCTTCCTTTTTCCGAAATTCCTAGCCTGCAATGAGATCGATGCCCAACCAAATTCTGTCCAAAATTCTCTTATGAAAAAGAAATTGATCCTTTTAAAAAAATGTATACACAAACACACATTTCTAAATGGCTGAAGATGATTCTCTTAGCATTGTCTTTATAACTGTCAAGCCCAGCTCCTCCAAACATTCCTCGCTCCTGACTCATTATAGTTTGAACAGTTCACAAATTAAGGCAAAAAAAGATTCTGGAGAAAATGGATCAGCTCTGAAGATACTAACTTTCCAGTTTTCAGAGGTAAAACAAGCTGTTTTTTTCAAGTAGAAGTTATGTATTTTTACTAGTTGGCAAGGATGAAGATGGGGGAAGGAAGGAAGGTAGGTTGCAATTCTAAAGTATATTTCCTAAAACTTTTTAAATAAGTAAGTTCAGAAGAAATCTCAAATAAATGTACATTTAATGACTGCATTGATAGCACTGCATCTTGCTCTTGAAGCAAGCACTGGAGACTTTCTTACAAAGAATGTGAATGCATTTTCATATCCAACAATAGCAGATGGTTTTGGGGTTTTTTTTGCCCATCACTGTGTGAGCACTAATCTATTATGTGGCCTTCAAGGCACATAATTTGACTTGAAGGCCATATAATAGAGAAGAGGCAATTCTCTTACCAAAAACAAAACAAAATGAAACAAGATCCTTGTTTGTCACTAATACAACTGACAGGAAGCTGAATAAGATACGTTTTCACTATATATGTTGGAATTGCCCAGTCTTGGGAATTACCCAATATTTTTCAATGAGATATTTAAATGTATAGTTATTTGATATCGCTGGATTAAAATGATACTTTTGATATAATATAAGCATGATCTTGGCAGAAACTGTAAAAAGTGCATAGCAACTAAATTGTTCCATCTATATCTATCAGATTAATTATACAGGTATCTAAAATTAAAAGAGACAATATGCTTTTTGAAATATTATTTGTGTCTTGTTCAGAATGATAAATATTAAAATTGTATCTATATTTATATATCCTTCAGCATGGGTTTGTTTGTGTTTTAGTTTGAAGTGGCTATTTTCTATATATATTTGTTTTTTAATAAAAATACCTCATCAGAAGAAGAGAAATGGTTATAACATTGACTAGAATATAATATGAATGTAAGCTCAATGATAAATGTATACAAATATTATTATGTGCACAAGATATATGTACCAGACGATATACTGTATAACTGAAAGAGAGTTTTTATTTGTTGTTTTTGTTGTAAAAAAAATTTCAAAAAAAGAAGAAAAATGGTTGTTGCTGTTGACTTAACACATTCTTGGATGCATTTTAAAAAGATTTTGAAATGTGATTTATTCAATGTAGCAGACTAATTGTTGGAAACGTGCTGAACAGATAATCACCATGATAGGAAAACTCTTTTTCTCTAAATTCTATTAGTAAAGCTAGACGGTTGGTAAGCTTATGTTGAATATTGTATTGTAAAATATTTTCACTGTAACTATAAATATGTTATGATTTACATTGCTTGCGTTCCTTTTAAGTAATTTTAACCACAATTTAATTTTAAATCAGAAGGAATCTATTAACAACTTTTCTAACTATGGAATTTCGAATGCTCATTCCCCTTTCCTGTTTATTTAGCATCTTCATATATCATCAGATGATTCTTGCTACAGAGTTCTACCATGAGCCAAATGGGAGATATACCGGTAGTAGGAGTCCTGAGTGTAGGATGGGGAGGAACAGCCTCAGACTAAAGCCAAACAAAATGGAATGGTGGCTAATTCAGAAACCAAATGATTCCAGGACTGTATCAACATTAACCACGGGGGGGTTGTGCTTCCCCTGAAAGAGTAAGGTCACAACATAGCGGCAAGTAGAGGCTCTACCCAGAGGAGTTTTGCCCCATTATGGCTGATGTGCCACTTGTAGTCTTTCCTGGAGTGGGAGGTACTGAGATCAGCTACTCACAGCCATATCACATCTCAGTTAGATTACTGCAATTCATTCTCTTCATTCTCTTAAAAATCCTCTACAGACATCAAGTGTATGTTTACCAGTCAAGCATGTTATTATCTGATACCAGGACCAATGAGTTTCTGAGTGAAGTAGAATCTCCCTATCTATTGCACACAAGCAGAGTGCCTGCTATGGATTCCCCTACCTGGGATGTTCAACAATAGGAGCCTCAAAATAGGCATTCCCACAATGGGCTCCTCATCTCCACAACATCTTGTCTCCAGAAATAAGACTGCCTCCTTTCCCAATGGTATTCTATTATTGAACCCTGCTTGTTCTGGAAAGCCTGGGAAGAGGACATTATTTAGAGAAACCAGGGTCATGAATGAGGGTTGATGAAAGATATTGTTATATTATCTTTATTATTTTTGTCCTATTATGTTTGTATTTTATATTGTTGATTTTATCATACATATCACTGTGAACTGCTTAGATATAAACTAGATGTTCCTATTGCTGTACAAATGCTTCCGTTTATCATAGGTGCCATTGTTTCCTCATCATGGAAAACAGTGTATGAATCTCTTAATAAAAAGAACTTGGGTAGAGATATTTTTATATGATATTTCCAGATCAGTTTTATCTGGAATTCAATAACCTCCAGAAATGGCAGTTTGAACACAACTTTAATACCTATTTCTGAGTTGCAATCCGACATAGCATGTATTATAATAGCCTAATAGCAGTATAATAAATATGGTTATAATCAGTTCCATTGTGTCTATATAGAAGAAAGTGCTAAGATGGAAGATTATTATTTGATGCTATGTATACTATATAACAAATTCTCACTATATTTGATATTATGTAAGATTATTTAGCTTTTCTTGCAACTGATATTTTCTTTTGCAAATCTCAATACATAACAAAATACCACCAACCCTAGTAAATACATGTAGAGCTGTAGCTGTGTTTTTCAGATTAATCTGGCAACTTAATGAGGCACTATAGATTGTTTGTTGCTCCATTTAGCTAATTATAGACTTTGATACCATTTGGTTTATTGTTTTGCTATCACCTATAAGAATGAATCTCATTAGCAAACAAATAAATATGCAAATCAGTATTTAGCCAGCACAATTTAAATGTGTATTTTAACATCTTTAGTTTGAACACTGGAACTTCCCCAAATAGCTGTGTGCCTATAATTTATCCACAGTGAAAAATTTGTTGGATTGTAACTGAGAACATTTTGGGATCTGAGAAAATGTACATAAAGATGCATAATAATCTTCTCAAGTAGAAAAGTCATCATCATATTAACTTTCTAAGATAAACTGATTGGACTATCTGAAGAACCATGTCTCCCTAATTAGACTAAACCACCCCACTTGCACCAAAGGAAGATACCTGCTACAGATCCTGTTGGGCAGGTTCAAAGAAAATATTCTTTTCCACTGTGACCATTCTACCACAGAAGGTGAAACTGCCCCTACCTTCTGGTCTTCTGGAAGGGTACTAAAACTTGGATTTGCTGGTTGGCCCAGGACCCAAGGGGAGGTGATCACTACTGGAGGTGGCAGACCTCATCTCTATCCCATCCATCTCTTAGTTCTGATTTCATTATAGATCTAAATTTTTAACCTGTGTAACTTTAATGTTTTAATATTTTAATTATTTTTCTACTTGTTTCATAACCTGTAAGCTTCCCAGAGTCTTCTTATAGGGGAGATGGTGGCATAAAAATGTAATTAACAAATAAAGTGATATAGCAAATGGGTACCAGACAAAGATAATGCAATACGCAATCTAATCCATTAAAAGAAAAAACAAGAAAAGTCAAATTGATACTCCTGTAAAAATCTAATTGCCAATATTTCACACCCATATCAGAACTTGATTATCACCCTACCCCCAGATCTTTACAGCCTTCAAGAAAGCCAGACAGGTTGGGCCATCCATATTTCCAGGAGAAAGCTGCTTCATAAGGCAGACACTAATGACCAAGAAGGCATGTTCATTTTTATGCTATTTTCTAGTCTAAGGTACAACCAAAAATAATATATTCTCTATTTCAAAGACAAATATGGTGATAAGACCTATTCCAAAAATAAGCCCTAGCATAGTTTACACATGCACCTAATATAAGCCCTATCTCCAAAATAAGTCCTACTGAAGGGCCTGGGCAGCCATCTGATTAATTGTGATGCCACAGCTGTGTGGCGAGGCAGGAGGGCTGGAGCTGCCCCACACCACTGGTTAGGCTTAACTCAGGGCCTCTACAGCCAGGCCATCCACAACCCAACACCTGCCTTACAGTGGCAGCACCAACAGCCATGTGAAGCAGGAGCCCATGTGGCTGCCAGCCAACTTCTTCTGCTTACTTGTGGTCACAATGGATCATGAGGCTGAATGGTGTAGTGGTGCCATGGCTGCATGGTGAGGCAAGTGTTGGGACATGGATGGCGGGGACCCTGAGATAAGCCAATGTGGGGCATGTAGGGCAGCTCTGCCCCCCTCACCTCATGGCCATGGCACTGGCATATCACTCAGCCTCCTGCTCTGTTTCCATGAGCAAGCAGAAGTGACCAGTGGCTATGCTGGGTCCTGCTGGACAAGTGTCAGGGCATGGGTGGCCTGGCAGCATGGGCCCTAGACAACTAGCCCACCATGGGGCCTCCTGCCCCGCCGTGAGCAAGCAGAAAAAGTGGGCCTCACATATATAGAAAAAAACGTTCCCCCCCCCAAAAAAAATAAGTCCTAGTGCTTATTTTAGAGTCCAAAAGAAAACAGGTCTCAGTCTTATTTTCAGGGAAACATGTTACTATGACCAAAGCACTGGATGTAGGTGTAGTTATACTGTACATTAAGTTAAGCCATTGAAATCAAAGGGAGATCAGTTGTTACTTTATTCTTATACTTTAAATTAAACCAATCCGGGATCAGGAGACAATAATGTACTACAATACTAAAGAAAACTGGGATCACAAATTATGTCACATAATTCATTGGATTTGATTCAGCAAGTAGTGTGAATTCAGCCTCTATGCTGTATAAATCATGATTTATATAGCATAATGTAGGAGCCCAACCAATTGTGATGTATTCATCAATGAGTTATTCAAGACGTACAGTTCAAATCTTTAAAGACCAAACCTATATATTTAAATGCGAAATACCACTCACGCATCATCACAAAATCTCCAGAACCATAAAGCCTACAAACTTGAAATTTGGCACATATGTTCCTCTTGGCTTCTAGGTGTTCACCAAGAAATGACCATCAGAGCATTAGTATTTCATATATTATTATTAACATGCTCTGATGCTAAGGAGTTCTACTCCCCCTTCCCACCTGAAAAGAAATCTGTTCCAAATGCAAAACACAAGCAGAGGAGTTTCAGTTTTTGTTTTTACAGTACCAAACAGATTTACTACAGAACATTGAGCTAAGCCACGCCCAGGCTCCTTGCTATCTCCTTCTTGCTCACACAGCAAATACTGTTTCAGTCTCCAAACAGCCTCAACTCCCTCACACTCTGACAGGATGCTACCAGATCAATACCAATGGATGCTGGTGGGCAGAGGCAGATTTTTTTTCTTATTTTCATCTCCAAAAACTAAGCCTGACAGTATAGTTTTGTAGCAAAGCATGGGTATTGAGCTAGTCAGTTAATAGTTAAAATGTAGATCCACTGATAAAGAAGTCATAAAATGCTATCTCATCTACCACAGGTAGGTCCCAATACACTTTAGGGCTGTAGCATTGATTTAAAAAAACCCTATAATGTATTTTTCCAAGATGATTCTTTGTTAAGAAACATTTTTAACCTTAAATTTGTCTTAAGATATGCTTTTTTCCCTATCTTGCTTGAAAATTGCCTGGAACTTTGAAGTAATCTGATTTCTATCACTATATATCTCCACCCTACCAAGACAATGAAGAGCCAATGAGAAAATAAACAACCAATCCCTAATGGCTCCAACACATGCCAAGTGATGAGAACTTATACTTGCATTTCAGCTGACAAACAATGCTGGTTTTCTTTGCAGGTTCATCAAAATGGAAAAGTGGAGTTTATTTTACTTACTACTTCTACACATAACAATCATATGCTCCCTTGATTCGGTAAGTTTTACTCTTTGCAAGAAAGTTTCTGTTTATTTTTTAAAAGGGAGGAGCAAAGTGAAAAAGGCATCCTCATTCACAAAGAGGATATGGTGATGAAGAAATGAGCTGCAAAGAACAGTTTCTCCTAAATAATAAAAACTTTGACTTTTAAAAGCAACTGGTAGGGAAGGGAACAAAACCTGAATTTGCAGGTTTTATCTGACTTGATAAGCATCTCTGTGAGTCTCGAAGATTGAGCAACTTCTAAGTTTTAGTATATTTTTGCAACTTTGGTTAAATGCTAAAGGTAAAGTGGAACTTTTAGCTTTGCCTCTGTAGTTCGCATTAGCTTTTTCACAAATGGGACCTTAACAAAATATGGTTGAGTTTAACTTCTTCCTTCATCTCTTGCTCATAAGTAGTCATGCCAGCAGAGGGCAGATGCTTCCTGCCAGTTCAAAACATTCTTCCTCTCCTTTCTTGTTTTGCTTTCCACATTCCCACTTTGTTACCATACCTAAGTCTGGGTGTTATACAGTATGTTTCTAAGCTAGCTCTGTATCCCATTCCAAACTAGTTTCCTTCACTCCATTACATTTCCTGTGACTACGTTGCCTGACTTTTAAGTTGGGGGTTAGTTAAACCATAACCATCATCAGCATAACTCAAGAGGAATTTTTTTCCTATCCCTACCCAAAATCTGGAGGTTGGTTTACTTATTTCTCAGATTTAAAAAGTCCTATTTCCTATGTTTTGCATACTAGCTATTAAGCTTTCAACTTTAATTTTTCCCATCTTCCTTGCAAATCAGTAGATTGCATCAGTATAAATTAGCTATATAAAAATGTAATTTAATGTAGCATTCTAATATCAAAAGGGGAACTACCAACAAAATCATGTTACATGTGATTTATAATCTTTTTCATTGTTTTTGTGATACCTTATTAGGAATAAAACTCTTAAGTTTGGTTGCTAATAATTACTCAGCTATAATGATTGCAGAACATGCTGGTGGTGTTCCTTCACTATGTTAGTAAAAGCTTACCTCAAGCAACCATCTGAAGTAACTGCTTTGTCGCTGAATAGTGTAACTAGATTTTACTATTACCACCTTGGTGGTCAATGAACATAGGGTTAGAATTAAAATGTAAGAGGTGTAGATATGGTTTGAGACACAAGGGAGATATCTTTGTTGTTTGTAATTGTGACTCTGGATGCATAATTCCAAATGCATCATTCCTAATTATCAGCATTTGTTATGGGGCTCACATGTGAAAAAGAACACTTTTTGTAAAAGGTTGTATATTGGATATAATAACTGGCCATGTAAGTTATAAAATAAAAGCATGTATATCAGTCCTAGTAGCTGGGACAAACATGCAGTTATATGCCTGGAAACCAAAAAGTTTGACAACAGCTGTTTAATATCTGGCTTTGAATTTAGTGTTGTTTTTTTAAAAAAAATGTATTCAGTAAAGCAGGCTGAGTCAGTTACAATCTGTTTCCAATTAGTGATCTAGCCACAACCTAAATAACATCCAGCCCAATAATCATGTTTTTGTTTTGCATTTTAATGGATTTTAAGGGTCTATCCTAATCACTTTAAATTTTAGAATTCTGTAGTGTTCCAGGTGAGTGGCTTTGATTCCACTTACTTATAAAATATAGTTATAGAATAAAAGATAGAATTTTTGTTCTATTTTTTTGGGTGCATAGAATTAGCAGCAGATTTCTGTAATGGTATTTGTAAACGTGCAGAAAATGTCTTTTTCCAAAAGAAGCAGATGTAGCATGCTCAACTCAAGAAGTCTGGTGTTGTCCTTAAGTTACTTGTTTAAAGATCAAAAAGGAGGCAGGCAGGAAGCTGGCGATTACTTGTGATTTATTTATTCAGATAGGTATTTGATCCACTCCCTTTCCAATGGTTGGAGACTTTGGGATTTGGTAAATTGTTCAGAAAAAGTCCCAAAATTTTATTTAGCATTTTTATATCAATAGTAAAAGCCCTAGTATCTAAGAATATAAATGCAAAACTTCCACTTCAAATATGCTACCAATGATAGAGACTCAGCTAAAACTTTCTTTTTCTTTGGGGGAGAAGAAAATGATCCTTCCTTCCTTCCTTCCTTCCTTCCTTCCTTCCTTCCTTCCTTCC